AATGAATGGCTTTAAATACAACTCTTCCGACAACTTGGGATCAAAAGAACTGCTGTTTATCCTTTAAGCTGCAAATGGCTGGCAAATATCCTTGTGCTCTGATGCTGTAAATAGTAAATGCTGTTTATGGCTAGTCAATGTTTATGTATTTCATGGGTCGCATTTATTTCAGAGGGATCATATTTTATTTGCCGTGTTAACCTTGCCCACATACCCCCCTGGGACTGAGTTCCCTCCTGGGCGCTATTCCTGGCTCTCCTGCTGACCACCTGCAAAATTTGGGGAGCTCAAGTCCTCCCTCCATGCCTTGACTCCTCCACCTTTGTAGTGCCACCAACAAAGGTGGCCTGGCCCAGAAGTCCCTAAGGTTATATCTGTCCTGCTAAATCGCTTGAATGAAGCAGCAATATAAGACTTATCATTTGTAAAGATGAAAGTCACTGTGTGGGCAGCTCTTTTTCTCTAAGGTGAATGAGCTAACATACCAGCTGGATCAAGGCAAACCTTACAAAAGGACCAGGGTAAGAAAAAGTAGTAACAAAGACGCTGGGATCATCCAAGAAGAGGAACAGCTTTGTACAATAACTTTCACTAGCAGAAATGTTACAAAAATCCTGTGGGCAGACACATGGATGAGAGACATCCTCAGCTGGAGACCATGGGGGCATCTGGCCTGATGGATGAGCGTGCAGACAGAAAGCAAATGGCAGCAAAAGGATTTGGGCTGATGCATGACCACACTGCCAATTTGTGTCATTCTCAGCCCACCACCAGGGACAGCAGTTGCAGCGACTTCATTCAACTGATACAAGTGACTAATTACCTTAATGAACTGTCTGCAGGAAAGCTAAAGTAAAGCCTGTCTTTTTATGGTATTTGATTTATGCAATTATAATGGTGTCTGTCCCAGGCTGTAGGGTCTGTATCCTGGAAGGTTTATAGGTGTCATTCAAATCAAGGCAGCAAGAAAATCATGAAAGGCAGCACAGTTGCCGTGGTGCAGGATGGTCTGCAGTGACAGGCTCCTGGAGAAAGGCCACACATCCATCACCCGGGATTCCCTCTGCCGCTCCAGGGCCAGTCAGCACATTGGCTTACATCACCTCGAGGAGATGCCAGGGAATGCTGCCAAGTTGCTGTCTTTGCCCTCTTCAAGGTCTATTTATACTCACTCAAGGACATCAGAATACCCTTGGGATAGGAGAGACCTTTCCATCATAGTGGATGCTATGACTTGATCTGCCTGGTTTTGAGCACCGTTGTTCCTATTGCATTATGCATTATATTTTCCAAGTTGATAGCAGTTCCATCATGTTTCTGGATGCCATTTCAAAGTCTGATAGAAGCCAGCACCAGAAAAATACTTCCGATCCTCCCCAGGCTTTACTGACACTGTATTTTCTGCCAGCTTTGGTGTTGTTTAACCTCCAGAAGGATTTGTAGAATCAGACCTTTTACTGAGCTTCTATGTCAAAGAGTCTCTTACAAAAAGGTGTGTCCTGGATTACTGGAGCAACCTGTGTGCTGGTTATCTTCACCAGAAAACACTTCCCATCAGTGGACAGGTTTATCAAACTTTTAACTAAAAGTCTTTGAGTGCTGCACGGGAGCACATCCAGCACATAACTGGGGTTTGCATCATTGTCTCTTTGGGACCAGCCCAATGCTGAGGGAAGGAGCCTCAAGGAGGGTTACCCTGTGTCAATAAAACAAAATACTTCTGCTACAGCATAGAGTACAACTCCATCTCACCCAGCTATGAGGACTACTTGCAGGTAGTCTCTCAGGATTTGCTTGGACCTTCAGAGGCTTTTCTCGCAGTCTCAGGTACTGAGCCTGGTTTTGAGAACAGACCAGGATCACTCTCACCCATTCTGCAAGTTCCCTGCCTTCTCTGAATGGCTCCATGATATTCCATGAGTTGTTTCCTTTTCCTTCATACCTCAGCTTCCCTTTCTGGGGAAAGTGACCAGTAAAGTGTGTTTGGTCGTTTCTTTTTTCAGAGCTGAGGGAGAGGCATGTCTCCTCCAACTGAAGGCAGTGGCACCAGAATGCCTAGAGAAGAACAAGAAAGCAGAAGCACTCAAAGCAACACACAGAGACTTAAAGCAAAAACCCCTTTTTCCACTGGAACTTTTGCTCCAGGTCAGATGGGGGAAAAAACTCACAGTCAGCCAGGTAATCTAACAGACATCTCTGGAGCCCTGGAGCATCTCCACCTGCATGAGATGCTTGCTGCTTGTAAAGGTGGTCAGGTCTGTCTTATATATCTAGTCTGCCAGTGCTGAGATCATCAGCTCAATCTACTCTCTACATCAAAGAATTGCTGCTCATTTCTCCTCTGCACTGGAAAAAAAAAAAAAAGCAATGTGTGGAGCAGCATTAAGCATATTTGCATGAATTGGTTCTCAGCCTGTGTTGGAGAGACTCACATCACTAAATCAGTTTAGAGAATAAACATTACAACAGTAGCATATTAAAAAGAGTCTTTTATCAGTCTCAAAACCAGCATTGATAGCACCATCGTCCGACTTGGGACAGCTTGTGTTCAGTTTGTGTTGGCCAAATCATCTAACATTTCAGAAAACCAAAACCAACTTCCTGTCTAGAACTCAGCCCCTGACCTGGCTGGAAACTCACAATAAATCTATACATTTTATCAGATTTCAGGGGGTTTTGAGCCAGGCTTTCATAGGCAACTATTCTGAGCCCTGGAGAGAACATACTGCATGAAGCAGAAGGATCGTCTGGCATGCTAAGAGTCACGAAACATCAGGTTCATTTAGAAGATCAGGTGTGTACCCAAAGGCTCGACTACTCACACATATTGAAATAAACCCTGTCTCTGCGAGAGATGTGTTGAACGTACTTTAGCTGCTTGAGCTGTATTATCAAAATCAATTAAACCAAGAGGCTTAGGGAACATTTAACCCTGCTGCAGTAACTAAATAGCCAAGAGCATTATTAATGGTAATTTAATTAGAGATAGAATTTGAACCATTTATAGAGATGGAAAAGGATTTTCAACACGACTTACTTGGATCACATTGAGGAACCCTCTTCTGGTTTAGAAGCCAAGTGAATTGCCAGCATTTCTCCTAACAATATTTTGGGAAGACCCAGTTAACAAGCTTTCAGTGAATCCTAGCCAGTAGAAGGCAGCCTGGTGAAGACATTCCAGTGCTGCAATGGTTGTCACACACCATCTTGGCACCTACAACCTCTAATAAGGAATCTCAGGGAAAGACTGTGCTTTCAAATACCTTCCTAAACTAACAAGGAGAGAAGCTTCACCCAGGTATCCCACCCCATGGCCTCCTCCAGCCCTGGCCTTGAGCACTGCAACCAAGGTGGGCAGGTAGCTGGTGAGAGATGAGAAGCAGCCCAGTTTCAGCATCTGGCTTGGTCTTCAGGACTATGACCAAGAGGGCTGACAGGTGATGTCTGGAAGGTACTGTAATCTATTGATTATTCATATTTTCAAAGATAATGTTTTATCTCTCCACCTAATTAAGCAAGAGACTAGGCTGGACCTTGATGCAAGAAGCTGGGTTCTTCACATGCTTCTGCAAGTTTTTCTGGTTGAATTTTGGGTTGATCTCTTGCTCTCTGGTCATAGTTAAACAATTGCCAGATTCAGGGTCACAAAAATTCTTTTCTGCTTGAAGAATTCAAGGGGTTTGTACTTTTGTGAGTGATTTTAAGCATGTTTAAAAGCATTGGAGACATTAAGATGTTATTGTGATACACCCTTCCAGAATTCATGCCTGTTGAGTATCCTGATCCCCAGAACAAGGAAATCATCACCCTTCTTCAGTGATGAGAAAACCAGACCAAAAGTATATGACCAACATCATTATCTTCACCCTCATATACATAAATACACATCCAGTGAAAAGAGCATGGGGCAGCACTAAAATTTCTTATTTATACTTTGGCAAATCTTCCATTGAAGTTTGTTGTTTTGTTTCAGAGCGGAACAAAGACCCCAGGCTGTGGTCCACATCATGAATAATGCTGGAATAGTTACTACTGACCAAATTACACTTTCATAGAGTTGTTTTAAAAAGCTGGCAATGATCAAAAAAGGTGAGCAGCTGCTCCTTCCAGCTACCTCTCATCTGTCATCAGCAACATTATTCACTAACATCACCAGAGACTGACCTGTGCAATCGGAGTCAGTTGTGAACATGACACAGAAAGCATGCCTGCGGCAGGATCTTTATCACTGGTAATAATGTACAAGAGGAAGTACCAAGCTAGATTTTTAGATGAAATTGCTAGGTTGGCTGTTAGAAATGTCATCTTTTCCTTTAAAAAATAACATTATCCTAAGCCCAAAGAGCCATTTTTGCTAACTATTTTTTTTTAGAAAGCAAACTATTGTTTCCTCATGACATACTTGAGACAGCAAGGACAGCATTGTTCAGAAATCAGACAGCAAAATATTGAAGCCATTAACATTTTATTTTTTTTTAATTGAAACTCATCTTTCAAGTCACACTAAAAGCGAAAAAAAAATGCAAACACTCAGGTATAAAATGGCAGAGCAATACTGTGACAATTCTAGCATGTCGTACATTCTGGAGTACACACTATTGATCATCACCACAAGCAGACAGGATGAGAGCTGCATCATAGTTCATTTGGTATCTTCATTCTTTTGCTGATCTCTTTCCTGTAGGGTCCTCATTAAAAGATGCTGGTTAGCATAGCTTCAGGGTTGGACTATCTCAGCAAAAAGGTTCTTGCCTGTTTTCCCTCCATTCCACTTCCTAAATGTCTCAGCTGCCAAGTTAGGTGTGAGACAGATGAGAAACAGCATCTTACTGGCATAAAGCAAGCCTGACAAGGGATTCAGGCCAGTGCCTACACTTCACATTAGCCAGATGTCAGAGGCCAGTGATGGGAACCTCTGTGATGTCTAGTGCCATGTTTATTAAAATTAACACTGCAGCTTGGTAGTACCAAGTCAAAACTGCCAGTACAGAACAAGGTACCAACTCCAGTGGTTCACCATTACTCTTTGTAGGCTCATAAAGTGAGATGGATTGTAATAAGCATGATACTGCTATAAAGTAAGGACTTCTCAATGAGGCTGACTATCTGACAGAAGGGGTAAGAGCCACAGATGTCATCTTCTCTCCACGAGTAGAGCTTAGACTGCTACATAGGGTGGTGGGGATTCCTTGGAAGGCAACTCTAAAGCTTCCTCATATGATGGCAGCACAGCCTGAAAGAGAAGACCATTAATTATGCTCTGGGGATCACATGAAGGGTTTCAAGTGGGTTTGATCTTGAATGTGTTTCTCTACCTAGTTCAAAGCAGGGTAAAAGAACCACATGGGCTGAAAGAGATAAAGGGCAGAAATCCAGAAGAGTTAGAGGTCAGCACTTTATAACCACTCTGCTGCCAGTCCCACCTCCTTCTCCCAAAGCATGGCTGCAATAAATGGACCAAGGCTCTTTAATGTCGAGAATACAAGCCCCATTGCCTAAGCAGAGAAGCTAAGCTCAGTTCACTGCAGAGGGCCATGATGCATGCACAGCAGGGGCACACACTGCTGGCAAGACAAGGCTTATCATATTTGGCAAATTTCAACAAGACAAATGCCTACACTTAGCATTCCATATTCTTCCTCTTTACTTCTCATCCATCTTTTCAGTATCTCTTATTTTTGGAAGGTCTTCGATACCTTTCCATTGTGTCACAGCAGCTGGATGCTACTACTAAAGAGATCATCAGTAATTGAAGGACATTAATATTCATTATTTAGCAAATTGTTAGGATGAAGGGCAATGCACCAAATCTCTCAGACGTTGATCCAGTGAAAGGTGAAGACAAACTTAATTTTAAACATGGGTAGCACTATTAGGCACAGAAACCAAAGTTCAACTGAAATTAAAAACACATCTCTGGATCAGAGAATAAAAGTGATATATTTCCATTTATCTGCTTTCCCAGAAGCCTGATTTTCAGGTTTCTTGCAGATACCATTGACTTTGAAAGGTTTTATACAAAAGTAAAGTTAAAAGAATATAATATAAATGGAAACTGATTAGTACCTGATAGTGCACATTTGAAGGGTCAAACTGTCTCTCAGTCCACCAAGAGCAAAAGTAAGGATCATCATGCATCTCATCAGTCTAAACCATGCCTTTTCATGGTATAAAGCTGAAGCAGTCTTTACTCACCTTTTCAACTGCTTGCGAGTCAACTTTGGCCTCCTCTCTCTTGCTGGCTTTTATATACTTAAAGCAGCTCAGGACACATTTGAACATATAGGCCTGAAAAGGAAAGGGAAGTCTGCCATTGCATTGCAAGTCAACAAGAGCATTTCCACTTTTGCCATCAGCCTGCTATTGTCCTACTCTCTTCTCTGGAGGAAGAAGTCTGGGACCATGTGTACCAAGGTCTTAAATCCGTCTCTCTTGATCCTTCATTAGAAAGGTGACAACTTCATGTATTTGGAATAGTACACTGGCGTGGGAAGTCAATACGATTAGTAATACCATTAAGTATAAAGCACGCTCTTAAGACATCTGAGAGCACAATGTCATCAGGTATAGGAAAGCATAGCATGTCTTTCATGTTATTTTTCTGAGCAGGCTACAAAGTTTGAATGTCTCAGAAAAGCCCCTTGGGCACAACATCCACCTCCCAGATATCCAAGGCTCCCTGGTCAACTAGGACTGACCTAAAAGGTCAGCTCATTCAACAAAATTCTATACTTGCAATAGTTACACTTTTCTGACAAGATCGCCTTGCACCTCACAGAGTTACAAGATGCAATAAATAGAGCTTTTCTGAGAAAAATGGATCGATTGATGGATTGTGGCACAAGAAAATAAGCAAGGCCTGTGAAACATACCATATTAAATAAATATTTTCCCTACTCTGTGCAGTGAGGCGAAGTCGTGTGCCTCTTATTTTTATTGGCGTAAGACTCTATTTTAAAAACAGTTGGCATTTTCAAAGGAACATAGGGAGTTATATGCCTCAAGAGCAAGCCATGTAGCTTAGGATTTCCTAGAACAATGAGGACTGTTTGTCTTGACACAAAGCCAAGACAAAGAACAAGAACAAGGAATGAAGTATCTGAGTTGAAGGAATCTATCTCTCAACCAAACTTCTAGAAATGAGGAGGTAAATCCAAGCTTTGACCACCTTTAGGGAATACTGCAAAAACCTTCCCCCTTCCTAAAGTCACTTTGTACGGAGAGCAAACATGCAAGACACTGAAGCCATCGTATAAATGGTACAAAAAACCCCGCTCATCCATGAAAGAAACCCCAATAAATTAAAAACAAAGAAATCATATAACAAAAAAATCCTTTCTTTGATTTTGATTCTGGAAGAGTGTGCTGCAGTGCCAATCCAGTATCTGCACCGAACTCAATGAAGTTGACTTCAGCTAAGACTGCTGCAAGCAATAGCAGGTTTGAGCAGAATACATTAGTACATGCAGCTTATGTAAAGGCAGCCAGTGACCTTGGGATCATCCCATTACCGGCTAACTCAAAATATTGAAGAGTCACTGTAGGATACCCTTCTCCACACTGAATTGAAGAGGGAAAACTTCTCTGGCAGCTGTTGACATTGTAAGTGGATGGGGTGCTTGTCCTGGAGGTCAGGAAGCGAGCTACTTCAGAAGTAATTATGTTAAACCCTTTCTTTCATTTCCCATCAGAAATGTTTTATTCTCCTTGGTTTCTGCATTCTTATCATCATGGTCATGGAGGGGGATGACTTATGACACCTAGGTGAGATAAAGATTACTTGTGGATACACAGATCAGCAAGGGAGACTGCCCTAATGGCGCTATGTAAGCATCACCCCTTTGCTCACTCTGCCCTTTGAATACTTTGCATCTCTGAGGAATTTAGACTTGAACATCTGGTAGTATCATCATTGGGGCTCTACAAGCAAGCATATAACCAGCCTACCACACTGGTAAGGAGCTGTGAAATTGCATGGAGAGACTTCCGCTGTAGCAATAAGACATGATCCCTGCAAAGGGTGGTGTTATATGAGAGAAGGGAGGGAGAGGAGCGTTACCATCCCCATAGCATTGTCAGACAAATATTTCCTGCCAAAAGGGTGAACAAGGTCTTGCAGGTCTTATATGAGGTCACTGGCAGAGGCATGCAGTGGGCAGGTGCCCTGTCTCTTCTTCATCTGACAGACAAACTTCTAGCTGAGTTACACTATGATGTGGGATGCAAATAACTAATTGAGGACAGTAATTGCAAGTTGGCAGGAAAACAGCACCAGATACACAGAAAAAACATTTTAGTGTGTGAGCAATAAATGCTTGCAATGGGTCATTAAACAAGTCAATTTATGCAAAAAGATCCTGGGCAAGTCCAACATATTTAGATGCTACCTTGGTGTAAGCATTCAGTGAACTGAAAACGATGAGCCCTAAATTGGCCAAGCGGCCTTTTTAGCTCTAAAATGTTTCATGTTGTTGCAATGTTCCTCACCAGATCTTTATCATTTGGAAGGAACTCTCTCATGACAATGGTTTTGCTAGACATGGGAGAGAGGAGGGATTGTCACTAAGTTTAAAGGATGGGGTTCCTAATGACTTGTTTTGGGGAGTTTAGTAGACCAAGGAGTACTTGTGCCTGTCCATTTTTAAATTATCCTTTCCCCAGCCCTCCTCCTACAAACTCCAGCACGAAAGCCATTGCAAGTTAAGTAGTCTTGTAGCTAACTGTGTGGAAAATTCAAATACACTGATTTGCCAGGTCAATGAGATTTCTACTGAAGACCCATGATGCCAGCTGGGTTTCAGGGTTATCTCCACTCCCATTGCTCAGTTTATGCAGTTATTAAAAGATATGCTAAAGTCATGTTTGCAGTGCAATCATACAAGACACTCCACTCTACATTGGCTTGTTTGGCCACCTGGGAAGACTCTGAATAAAAAAATACTTTCCAACTAAGAAGTAGCATTTTTCACTGTGACAGAATCTGCTTAAGTACCTGGAAAGATCTGGTTTTCTTAGCTGGTCTGAAACCCCACAGTGAAAAACCTGTTCTCTGATCCATTGAAGCAAGAAGAATAGAAACCATCTCACAGTGGAGTTTCCTGAGATGTAAGCAGGATTCAGCAGCTTACAGGTTTTAATTAAATTTCAGGGTATCAGTGTGCATAACTCTACTTACATCAGTGCGGATATAGCGACTTACCCAAGTGGAAGATCTAACCTGCTGCTTAATGATCTTAATTTATTTTGGCACACAATAGCAGAAGAGTTTCCTATATTTGTTTTTAAACATCTTCTAGAGATGAATGGGCAGTAGTAGTTTCCGGATATGAGAGAAATTTTGCTTTATAGCTCACATCTGCAGAAGCATGAAACCAGTGATTTGAATATTAGACCTGCCTCAGACACTACACTGAGGCATAGCTCCTGTTACGCCCAAGGAGAGACCAACGAGACTTTCCAATGCCCTGGCAGACTTGAGAGAGAGGTAAAATGTATCCCCCAGGCAAGAGAGCTTCATTTCTGCCTCACCAGACCCTCCAGCCATTTACCTTCAGGAAGAGGACAGCAATGAATGCAATGGTGAAGGTGACCATCACTTTGGCATATTCCTCGGTTGGTAACTTCTCCAGGGTTGGCAAAAAGCTCTGTGAAAAGAGGGAGACGATCTCAGTCATAAATGCTTCTTCCCTCTACCAGGGTCACACAAAGTGGTGGATAACCCAGCAAGTTTCTCAGCCTGCCTCTCAGAAAGAAGGGGCAGGCCACCTTCCTTTCCTCATCAGAAAGATTTTTCCTCCTACTGTTTGCACTCTTTTGGCAAAGATTTTCAGAAGACTATTTAAATGAGCACTAAAAGTATGACTGTTTAATAAAGATGAAAAGTTGATGCATTTTCAATGTATGCAGGCAGGCTCTATCCAAATCATTTTGCTCTGCAATTTGCATCCATAAGATTCTTACAAGAAAACAGGGTGTACTTTTAAGAAACACACGCATAAGCAAGCTGTCAATCAAGAACACCGTGTTGGTGATAACATATGGAAAATCCTCTTTTGTCATCAAACAGAGCAGTTCTGGGTATACCACAGAGATCAGAGAAAGTTTATTATTGCTTAACAGCCACTGAAAGAAACTTCATAGGGGTTCACAGCATGACAAATCAGCTGGGCTTGCTCACTACCTACCCCGTTGTCTGAAGACTTGGGGCTGAGATAGGTAGGGACCTCCATGTAAGAGCTGCAGAGAGTGAGAATACTCAGGCAGAAGTCCAGCAGCTGCAGAGCTAGGAAAGGGATCTTCGAGCGTCCCTGCTGCAAGAAGGACAGGGAACGGGGAATTTTGTTATGATTACAAGATGCGTCACTTCTATAGATTTTCTCCCCATTTTACACAGGGCCTGTGCTTTGTTCACACTGACAGACTAAGCTGTTTAATTCACTTGTACTAGCCAAATGATGAGCAAACCATCTTTTTGGGCTGATTTATACAAGCTCCTCAGAAGAGGTCTCTAGCTGGAGCAGTGATATTCCTAGCTTATCTCCAGCATTAGCACACCCAGAACAACCTCCCCAAAGCCCCGAGACAGAAAATCAACAGGAAGATTCCCAGACATGGGAAACTAAACAATGTCCCAGCTGTCACTAGTTTTCCTTGCACACCCTTTAGCCCCCAAGGATTGCATCCTGTCTCCAGCCCATGTAGGACCTGCCTTGCCATGAAGAACCACGGCCCAAGACAATGATGCTTTATTCCAACATTACGCATCAGCGTCCATCTCAGAGAACAGAGAAGAGCACCCCAGAAGTGAGCTGTTACCTACCGTGTGGCTAAGGGAGGACACAGAAACAATCGCTGGGACTTGTAGGTAGGAACTGAACATTGTTAGGAGGCTGAGGAGAAAGTCTATGACTTGTAGAGCAAGGAACGGGATCAGGAGACGTTCCCTCTTCTGAGAAAGAAAAGCAATGCCAGTTATTTCTATTCTAAAGGGGAGAATGAGACCAGCTATCAATACCTGAAAGGGCTTATATTAAGGTACTCCATGAATGAACACTTTCCTGGAATTTCTGCATCTAATTCCACATACTTTGATGACAATTGATTCAGAAACAATAAAGGGCATCAACTCTGATTTTTTTTTTTTACCCCCTTGGAAAGTTTCTATGAGTTTTCATTATATGACATTGGCACTTGATTTCATCACAGCTGTTGTTCAGCTGTCCCCAAAGTTTACCACTATAGAGAAAGCTGGTTTCCCACACCAATGCGTGATCATTTCTTCTGAGTGTAATAGGGGAGTTACAGTTCCCCTCCAGGATCTGACTTACAAAAGAGCAAGGAAATGATGCAATAAAACAACATTTCCAAATCATAGCATTTCCATTCCTTAACACAAAAAGGTCTTGATGGAAATATCACCCAGATTTGGTAAATCTGGCAGTTAGCAGCCTTGCAGATGAGCCTGAGACTGCCTTCCTCCTCTGTAAGAAAGCAGAGATATTTATCTGCTTTTTTGATCATATTTCAGCATTTTCAGTGAGCATCCTGAGTCATTTCAGTGACTCACTCATTTCACTGAGTCCCCTCCTCTAATACCTCCTAACTCAGAGAGGCTTCAGCCAGCAGCTAAACGTCATTTGTGGAGGACATACCTTCACCACACCAAGGAGGAGGTTGAAGCTGATGACAAACAACATGATGATCAACAGGAAACTGGTGATGACATCAGCTAAAAGTAATAAGAGTAATTACCATTACTAAAAGCTGGAGCCTAATGTCCCAATTCAATCATACCTGTAAGGAAGAACTAGAGTGTGATAACCTGACAGAAAGAACTGTATACATGGGGAAATGAATGCCATGCAGCTGGAAGATAACCCTCTTTTCCCTTTCTACACCCACTTTTTCATCTGTCTTCAAAGCTTCTCTTTCTTTAGCCACTGGGTTGAGCAGGCTGTCAGCACAGGCATGTGGGAGCCAAAAGCCTTTATTGCCTGGACTGAAATTTTAAATATCCTAGGCTACAGTATTAAGGTAAAATGAAGTGTGTGTGGCGGGGGGGGGAAGGCAGACTGCTTTTAGTTAATGTTTAATAAGTCTGAGTTGGAAATTATTTTGAGAGTCAAAGACAGATAAAGTAACCAACAGTGAAATTTGGCGAAAAATCTGCAAAATTCACAAGACAAGAAGCATGAGTTTTAACCACCCACCTCTGGTATGGACCACAGAGTTTCAGGGTGAAATGTCTCACCTTTACTCTCAGTAGCTGTAGGATGCAACATACACATTAAAAATAAATGTGTGAGGAGAACAACATGAGACAGTTCTACCTACAGGGCTGAAGCTTTGTCAGCTGTTTTGGGTGCAGGAAGGTGGTCTCCTATACAGGAGTAGCTTACCACTGAACAGCTCCCAGAAAGCAACGTTCCTCTTGGTATTGCAGCCTGCCCTGATGAGGACTACCAACGCCTTGCTTGTACTGTATGGTACAGTATACACATGTGGTCTTTGTAGCAGTCTAGACAGTGTGAATGTTTTTGGTAAGATTCATTTGCTTCTTAAAAAAGCTCACTCCCAAGTCAAAACACTGCTGATTTCTTTGTCTGCCTCTGTGTAATGTACAGTCTTTCACAGCGTCTCCTCCAACTCACTCTCTGATTTCTTTCTTACTGCTTTACTCGAGTTCAAAACAGCAACAGTCTGTTTGGGGTCTTCAGCTCCCAAGTTCTTGAATAAAGGGTTTAATTTTATTAGAAGAGCCAAACTTTTAGCTTTTTTAAAGCAACTGAACCTTTCTATAGTTATGTTTCTCAGACATCAGAAATGTTTGATTACAGGTTTGCTTTCCCCCCCACCAACTGCCCAATTTATTCCATAGCTATCAAATAAATCTAGTGCTTAACTATTTTTGTTCCATTACCCCTTTCACTTGCTTTCATAAAGAAATCTGGAAATTGTGCTTTAGCCTGTTGGATCCCTCATGTATTCCAGCTGTTCTGAAATCCTTCACTGCTCCATATTACCCATTTGTTTTCCCATGAAAATGCCCTTCCACCTCCCTCAGCTGAGAATGTTTGCCTCTACCTTTGGTACCACATTACATTTTTAGTGGGTAGGAGAGTATTTCAGTGCTTGGGCATACACCAAAGTGTCCTTAACTCACTAACTTGGCTGACAATACACTAAAATAATTTACAAAGATGTTGAGGCAGAAAAACCCATCCCTCTTTTCAGGCAGATGACACCAACACTGCTGTTTATAGCAACAAAACATTTGCATCAGGGCAGTCACAGCTATGTCATAATTTGGCAAGTTACTCTGAGGGAGCAAATGCAAACAGTCAGCCCAAGTCAAAGGGAGAGCCATGCTGGAGAAGGACAGACTACCACCCATGCTGCCCGTGATGTCTGGCAGGAGATGGGTGCCCATTAGATGCAGCAGCTGCAGCATATGCAAACTGTCAAGTACTGCATCCAGGCCCTGCTAAGCAATGTGGGTATGGACTAATGCCAGTTGAAGAAAGAATCAAAGATGAGACTGAGAAGCTCTGGAGCCTTTCCAGGGTTGTAGGGGACCTGCCTGACAGCTGGGCTGAGCCACATCTGGCAGTAAGGGCAGGTGGCACCAACGGCAACACTCCTCACATCCTTCCTCTGCTAGCAGAGTGTGCGCTTTATTTCATTTAAATGCATTGATACAAAACATATTTTAACTTCCCCTACTATCTTCTCAAGAATTAGTGACACACTTGAGTGTCCTCTAGAAATGAGATTTGCTGATAAGGAACTTTTAGCCAAAAAAGGAGATCTGACCAGTACTTCCTTCCCTGAGCATGAGAAGCCTCTTCCTTCTGGGACTCAAAGGGGGGAAAAACCCTTTGAGGAGGCTGCATCCCTCAAAGAAGCAAAAAGAGCTTATCTCAAGAGAGGGAACAACACTACATGAGCTGCTGCACATGGAGGTGTCAGGCATTCAAGACCTAAAGGAGTGATCAAAAGTATCCAACACACACATAACCTACATCAGGAAAAAGAGTTTTACTTATAACCTGGTAAAAACCAAATGCAGGATCTGTTTACCACAAAGCAATGAGAATCAAAACACAGAAGAAGTCCTAGGAAATAGCAAAGAAAGGGAACCCAAATCCAGCAAGACCCAAACAAGAACAGAGAGGGAAATGGAGAAAGGGCTTTACTGCAGAAGAGGCTGCTCATAGCTTTGCAGCTCACGAGAGTCATGGGAAGAGCCTAAGCTTCAAGGCAGAAAACCAAACCCACCTTTCAGAAGCGGGAGAGTAGAGACAAGGCTGTGATCTGGTGCACACACAACCAAAGATTAACACACAGACAGCATAAACTCAAAACAACAACAAAAAAAGAGCTTAACAAAGAAGAAAGACTCAGCCTTTGTGGGAACAGCCAGTCCCATTAAACCCCAAACTGTCTGAAGCCATTTTCCCTGGTTTTCCTCCCAGAACCAACAACCAGAACCTTTCCCCAGAGGATTTATCTCTTTAGCACGGTGTTTCCTCAGATTCATGACAGCTGTGTTTTTCTGCTTCTTTCTGCCTGGTCTCATGCTCCAGCTCTCTCAGCAGGCTCGCTAAGTAATTGGGCAACTGGCCGTTGCTTCTGCAGGCTAATTGCCGGCAGAACCCAGCTGAATTTTACAAGCAGAACCTAGATCAAAAAAACCCTAAACAAAATAACAAAGAAACAAAAGCTCACAACCCTACAGACACAAAGGGATGGAAAGAAAATGAAAACCAAGAGAAAACAACTTTCCACTCACTGTCTGCCTCCTATTTGTTCACAGTGAACATAGTCATCCTTTCTGCTGGCAGCAGATCTCTCTGTTCCAGTGATGTTTCAGTGGATTTGATCTCAGTAATCAAAGATTTCACTTAAACAAAATGAATTCTTCCTTTTTGAGAGCACATTTAGCAGATGGGCTAAAGGACTGACTCCCTTAGATAGTGGTAGCTGCTGGCTCTTAGCCCTGTCTGTGCAAACCCTCCATGAGATGGGAATGCAGTAGATGTTATGGAGAGGCCAAATGCCACCTGAAATACTTTGCAAGGGCTGGCAGAGCAGTAAGATACCTTCCAGGACCAGCAGTAGATCCCTGGGGTTTGAAGCACTTGCAGCCACAGCAGACCCTAAAGACCAGATTGCCGTGACTACCACGCTTCCAAGCCCAGCATCCGTTGTTTAAAAATATCAGACAGTATTTTTTAAGTCTCTTCAGTATTGCTCTTCATGCTTAGTTGGCCATTGTAGGATGAATGTTTGTCTCTTTTGTACTTAAAAATCCTCAGAAAAGGGCAAAATTTAGGAATCTTGAACCAAGCTTGAGCACCTGTATAATGTCAAATGCATCTTCCTCTCTATTCCTCCTGCATGTTTGTCTGTGTTCCTATCTCAGGAATAACCTGTTTTCCTCTACAGCATCTTAAAAAGTACCAGAGTATTCAGACAATAACAGGGTTTATCCCTGTAGAAGGTGTACTGGCTCTTTGAGGGCTATTGATGAAGACAAGAGGCAATTCTTACAATAAAGGAAATTCCAGATAAAAAGAAGTAAAATCTTACAAGAAGTGATGCAGTCTTGAACAGGGATGAAGAGAGGTTGTGGAATTCTAATTTTGGGAAATATGCAAACTTCAACTGGACAGAGCCCTGAGCAAGCTTCCTAACTTTGAAGTCATAGAATCACAGAATGGTTTGGGTTGGAAGGGACCTTAAAGATCATCTAGTTCCACCCCCCTACCTGTTTCAAGCAGGAGATTGGACTGGAGACCTCCAGGGATCCACCTTGCTTTTGCTCTGATTTGATGATTACAAGATCAGGCAGGGCAGAAATGTTGCTCTTCACAAAGCCTGCTTCACTCCTATAGCCCTAGAATATCCTACCTATAAGAATATTTCAGTTCCACAGCCATCTCCGTGCTGGCAGTGGTACTTTATTGCTGGCAGAGAGTGTGGTGAGAGCTTGTCCCCGTTGAGGTCCCCCTTTTTTGCAAAAGCATACAGGAATAATCAGCAGCAACAAATAAACAAACATGCTCTTTCTTATGCTTTTTCTTACTCAAATTCTCTGAGACTACCTGAGTCTCCCAGCGAATTTAATGAGAAGGAATATACGTGTGCTGTGAAGTAAATGCCATTTTGCGTGGGGAGGTGGTGTAACCAGAATGGGGGCAGGACAGAGCCTCCCCAGAGCTGCACTAGACATTTGCAATGCTAGCAAGTAGTACCAAAAAATCCCACCCATCCAACAGGAGGAGAGAGCATTTATTTGCCAAATGTCTATTTTTTATTAACTTCACATCAGGGTTTCTGCCCTGAATGCAGCCAGGAGGGACATTGAATGAGTCCTAATATTTCCCATGAATGCAGAGAAACTCCTTTATATTTTATGGCCCAATAAACTGGCATGGGAAATACAAACAGGGCTCATAAAGCTGTGGTTTAACAGTCGCATTCACAGATTGTCAAGGACGGCAGTGTCTGATTTGGTGCTGCTGATAAGCTGCAGGGAGTTGTTTCTGGACAGCTGCATTCAAACGATGGGCAGGATGGGTGAGGGAAAGAAGCCTCGAAGTCCCTTTAGCTTTTCATCAGAGAAGGAGGGAATATTTTCTGCAGAGGATATGGTATGCATAGGATATGGTATATGCTGTGCACACAGGCCTTCAGGCATAACTGAGGTATTTTTCTTGGCTGACTGGACAGAAATTGAAACAACTTTTCCAGTTGTACTTTGTCCACAGTGACAATTTTTATAGTCATTAATGAAAACTAAAAGTGATTAATGAAAACTAAAAGTGATTAACATTTAGACTGTATACAGGCATGAATTGAAGACATCCTAAAGATCTGACCTATGGCAAGCAGTGGGGTGTAACATTTTCAAGGCAGAAAACCATTCATGTTAGCAGCTTAGAACTGGAGAAGAGGTTTTAATTGAAATATTTTTGGGGGGATTGCTTTTTTGTTTTAATTTTCCAGCAGGAAAAGCTAGTCTGCCAAAGCTCACATGCTTTCAGGAATGACGCACTGCCAATAAGACTTTTGCTGGGAAGGCTTCTCAGCTCCAGGACGAGATTTCTAATAGACTGGAAATGGGTGAGGCTCCATGGGAAATGCACATCCAAATTTCTGCTGTACATGAGATAGAGCGTAGAGATGTGAACCTAATTCTTCCAAATTGCAACTGAATGCCCCAAATCACCATGCAGCCAAATTCATCTCCTGTTCCTCTCCCTGGCAAAATTAATCTTGTGTTATTTCTTAAATATTGGTTAGGTAGTAAATTTAGATCTACTTTATATTAGCCAACATCCTGGGTTTGACCCCACTAGAGGTGGGAAAATCCAGGCTCCCAAGGACAAAGAAGAACCTGGGTCTTCTTCCCATTTTAAGCTAACATTTTCAGCAGGTCTTATATTAATTTCATCATCAACTTTCATTGAAAAGCAAATTTCAGGGGAGCGCTCTCAGTCCTGTGCTGCCTGTGGCGTCTTGTAAGCCAAGACAGCAAGGAGTAGCAGGCTGCAAGGGACAGAGCATCGCTCTTCTAAGGGCAGCTGACCCAGTCACCCTTCCCATTACCCTGGCAATTACAAAAACCTACAACAATCCCAATTCTGCTTCCCCTCCCTGGTCATATCTGTGGAAGTCGAGGCCCATCCTATATCCTCTTTTCAAGGCAGCAAAACATACTCGTGAGAAGTCTTGAGTGTGCTCTGATTCCTGATAAAGAACTCCTATATATATTTTTTGCTATTGTATCATGTGAAAAGCCTTTGCCCATAAACCTTGCCTTGTTTATATTCTTGGGCCATGACTACAGCATTAGCATTATACATTCTGAGATGTGCTTTAATCTGGCAGGATCTACAAATAGAGCAGCAGATGCTGAGGGCATCAACAGAACCTCTCCCCAAATTGTTCTCCAACTCTTCCATCTGGGTTTTGAAGTCAAATTGAACTTTTTGCACTGCTTTGCTGTATTACTTCCCTGCTAGTTTCTGGAAACAGAAGGGTTGCACTGTGTTTATTCCAACTATAATCAGAAAACACTCGCAATCTCCCAAGCAGAGCCCTTTGAAATGCTTGGGAAGAGAAGCCAAGTGGAAGTGCTGGGGATTTCATTATAAAATGTTCCTTTTTGTGTAGGAGGCAGTGGAAGAGGGGGAGGGGAAGACCTGTCATTTTGATTGTGTGGGAAAAGGGGAGGGTGTTAAAAACGGGGCCAATTTCACTCGGAACTGTTCTATTCTTAAAGAAAACCCTCCAGATTTGCAGAAATGCACATCTTGCTTAGAAAGCATATAATGGTTTCATATGGAAATTAACCGAAAAATCTGTCTCAATGATTTGTTTCTTTTTCTTTAAAGAATATTTTACTTAGATATTGCAAGAAAAGTAAAAATCATTGGCCTTGGATGATCCGTCTGCAAAAAATAATGAAAAACAATTGTCATTTTTACATAATGACAAATTGGGTGGGGTTGGAATTAGATGATCTTTAAGGTCCCTTCCAATCCAAACCATTCTATGATTCTATAAGTGTATCTGTGGGAAAGCATTCTGATCTGCAAATATCATGTTTGGTTTTCAGCAGTTCAGATCACTGCATTATTCAGAATATATGTGCATACTCTACCATCAGGAAAAAATATTTCCACCTGTGCCCATGTCCAAGCCAGATACATCAAAACAAACCAAACAAACCCAAAGAAGGGAGGAAGACCTTAAGGTCACCCTTGCATGATTTTCTTCAGGTTTTATCTGTAAAATTAGAACTAGAAACATATATTACAGAAATGGAAAACTGGATTCTCCTACGTATGTTGTCCTGACCCAGAAAACAGCTGGGTTTTAGAGCCTGTTGGGTGTATTGCATGTTGCCCTAATGGGAAAGCTCTGCAGAAAGGATTTCCCAAAGCAAACATGATGCAAGTCTATATTGGGTGTTGAGTTGAGCCACAGCTGCAGAGGGGCCTTGGTGGATCACAGCTAAGCAAAGTAGCCTCCAACCCACCCAGACTGGACTACTTTGGAAGTAATGCCCTGTGTGAAAGATGTGAGCCACGGCAGCAGACCCGCGCTCGGTGTCCTGTTAGCAGGACTCACCCAAATTTCCATTTTCCACTCACTGTTGATGCTTTTCAAAACAGCCTTGGTGGATCACAGCGGTGCCTCCTAAATGCCATCTGGGCTCTTTTGAAAAATGTGAACCCATCTTGTAGCAATAACTTCACCTAGACAGTGACTATGCGTGTTTTGGTGCTTTCCACTATGACTCATAGCCCGGGGACAATGAGTTTGGGATGTGCACGAATCTGCCGTATTTGATTTCTTTTTCCTCCACTTACAGGGGGCCTCTCCATGCATGCTTGAAGCCTGGAGAAGGACACACTGGAAAATCAGGGAACAGGCAAGTCCTTGCTGCTATGGGTTGCATTTTTATCTATCAGCCTTCTCTGCAGGGAGAGACAATGCAGCGTGTGGGAGTCTGGTTTCTGTCTTTCTGAACACAGCAGAGAAGGGTTATCTAAAGTTGTGGTTTTACACCAAAAAGTTACTAAGAAAAAGAAAAAACACCCTGCATTTGTTGCTTCCTGTAAAATTAGCCTAGTTAAGTAATATTTGAGGTTTGGGGAGTTATTTTCTTTTAAATGGCACCCCACATGAGAAATCTGCCAGGTCACTGAAAGCCAAGCTAGGTTTTTCCTAGTTCAAGCCACAGGAATTCAATCAATGGTGATGAACATGACGCTTGGGACTACTTGTGGGATACAAAACACCCTGGCTTCTTCTTCCAGATAACCAATGATGTTCTGCAAAAAAAACCAGCAGTTGGCAACATCTGGGGATGGGGGCCAAAGGGACAGGGGGGAAAGGGAGGTGGGCTGGTGTGGCACTCTGAAGTGCCTTCAACTGTGAGGCAGGAGACCCCTGCATGGCATGACGGATGATGAGAAGAGGATGGCTCCATGGCATAGAGGGCAGGGTATTGGTGGCAATGTCAGGTAGCCCATGCACCCATGGGATGTGGGTCTACAGTTGGTGAAAAGAAAGAGAAGAGGAAACCAGGGCTGCCAGATTAATACAAAGTGTATTGCAGAGGGAGTGGGAAGGCAGGAGGAGTATGAGGGTACTGGAGAGTTTGAGCTGAGGGACTGACCCACTGAACTAAAGACTTCACTGGGCTCCACATCGGTCTCCAAAAAGCCAACACAGCCATGGCCTAAACAAAAATCCAAATCTTTAGAGTCTAAACTTTGTTTCTGGGTCTGAGCTTTCGGCCTATCTGGTCTGAATACCAGTTTCCAATTTTCTTTGATGAAAAAGAAAGAGGGACCACTGGAGGACTTTGGACTTCCTCTCAACCCCACAGACCCCTGGTGCTTTCCAGCACCCCAGTGACCTACCAATTCTGTAGTAATCCTTATCCAGGTCTTTGCAAAAGCCTTTTCCGCTCGCCACCTCCAAGGAGTACTCAATCAGCAGCAAAACACTCATAACCTAGGAGAACAAAAGCAAAAGACACAATTCAGTGGGCCATGGGCCAGCTTCCTATCAACAAATTTATTTCCAGGGAGCATGCAATGGCCACAGTCCTAAATGCAGGATAGGTCTCCAAGGGAGACAGTCATGAATAGTTTAAAATCCTTTACAAGGAAACATTGAAACAGAAGTTATCAGTTTATTAATGGTTTGGGTTTAACTGTCTTTTTCTGCCAGCTTCTGAAGGAGGGTGGAGGAATTTCAAAGTTAATGAGTTTTGTTTCAACATTTTTTATCCAGAAAGTCCTGGCTTTACATTTTGAAATTGCATTTTGCTTCAGAATTGAGCTAAATGGAACAATAGTATTATAAAGTGTAAAAAGAAACACAAAAAGAATAAACAAATATCTATTAAGTCTACCTATAGCACTTCATTGGCAAAATAGTTTTCCTTCTTTTATTGATTTGAGAAAAATTGAACCAGAATGATTTTCTCTCCCTTCCCCACCAAGTTTCCAAGTCGGACTATCAAACCCTAGACTCCATGGTTCATCCCACTCTGAGTTTAGCAAGCTGTGAGATGGAGTGTGGTCTAGAGCTGTGGCCTCAGTCCTAGCACTGAACTTCTATATCCAAACAGTGATGATCTGCAGTGAAAAATCAATTTCTAACCCCCAGGTTAGGGAGAGCTCCTGCTGCATGTGGGGCACTGGGCAGTCAGGGGCTGCAGAAGACCTCCATAAGGCTGGAGACCTCATCATGGACCACCTCAGACAGCAGGTCCATGCAAGTAAAACCAGGAAACGAGTAGGCACAATGCCAGACACTGCACCACATCCCTCCTGGGGATAATCTCACCCTGCCAGTGTGTATGCTACAGACAGCACATGCCAAGGGGACCAAACTTGTGAATTCAAGAACAAGTCCAAGGCCACAACAAAGCCTGCAGTGCCAGAGCAAGTAACACTTTTCGGGGTAAAGGACTACTCTGATGCCATTTATTGCTCCTTCATCACCTTACTGACAGTTTCAGCACTGTATAGTCAGACGGCCCGTTTCTGACTCCACTATGCATCCAACCTTGTTCATTGCTTTCTTCCTTGTTCTCCGATTTCTGCTGTCCTCCCTCACGCTTGGTATGTCTTTCATTTCTTGTGCATTTTTAGGCTGTAGCAAGCTGGAGCACAGCATGGCCTGCCAGTCCCATACCTACAGCTGCACAGCGTGCGCTGTGTTATTTTAAAATTGGTTTAACAGCGTGGGTGGTTGGGGAGAAAGCCTACGTTCCCCGAGGATGCAGGAAACACGGGCTTGTCACCCTGCAGCTGCATCTCACTGTCTGGACAAGCTCTCTGACCTCTCTGCTGCTGTGCACATTTCTGCCACTTCTCTGCCTGAGCTTTACCGCCGTCCGGGAGGACATCTTGCCACAACAACAGGGCACACCTTGAGAGCAGAGAGCGGGAGTCAGACTAGGAGAAATGCACGGACCGTCATGCCTTGTGCATTTTTCCTTGGAGAGGTGGGAACTGAGTCTGCAGGAGAGGAAATCCTGAGGCGTGCAAACAATGGAGAAACCTGTGCAAACATGACTCTCCATCTTCACCCCAGAAACGCCAGGTCTAGCATTGGGACCACCCATTCTGTAGACTATTCTCCAGGGACAGGACCCATCAACAAAAGTACCATCACCAAAAAAGCGGTGGTCATGAAGAGGTGAATGACAGAAGCCATTTTATCTGGACTGCGCAACCTCTGTCTGTGAGTCATCTGAACCCCTCTCTGATGCAGGAAGCAAGCATGGGTAGTGTATAGCTGAAACAACTTTTTCACAATATTTATAGCAGCCTTTCATTTCAACAACCGCTTAAAGAACTGATGCAGGCATGGAGAAACCGGAACTTGCGGTCTGCACTTGCGTTTGCAAACTTTATGTGTGGGGAACAGCACAAAACCAGCAACTGCAGTGGGACGAGGCAAACCTAACTGCAAGTGAGCGGAAGGGGGAATATTTTTTTGTCTTTTGCAGAGCAGTGGCTGGAGGTGCCATACAAGATCCGGGCAGTGTTCAGGCTGGAGTAATGTATAGTCAGATGTGCTGGGGCTGACATTGCAAGCCAACAAAACGAAGAGGAATGGAAAGAAAGACTTCGCATTGCCCTGAAATAGGGAAGAACGGCTGGGTGGGATGGCCTGCAGCAGAGACAGGAACTGAATGCAGACTGTCCCACTGTCTCTGCGTAGCTGCAGGAGACCTAGAAACTATCTTCAAAACCAAATTCATCAACTTCCTGTGCCACAAGTTCCAAGTGCAGTTTCCAGAAGAGCTGTAGCACATCCCCCAGTGCCCTTTGCTGCCAAAGCGAGCGTCCACCAAGCTGCACTCTTGCTGCAGTGGGGACCAGGGCCCTGTGTCCCACCACGAGCCTTCCCTCTGAATCTAAAATACTGTCTAGAGTCTGAGTTGGAGGAAAGGATGTGTCATGTTTTCTCCTGGCCTGTCTGATATCAGATTGTTCAATAGTTACATGAGACGCAGTACTTTTTTTTTTTTTTCTTTTTTTTTGCCATGCAGTAAATGAACTTTGCAATTTGTTTGTGAGGCTGATAGGAAAAGGAGAAATATCTAGGTCTCGTTACATGGAGACACAAGAAAGTTAACATGAATTCAGTTTAATGTAACAGTGTTTGAAGTCCCATGGAAGCAGTGAACCTTGTCAGGGATGAAATCGCATCAGTCTGAAGTTTCTTTAAACTTGACAGCGTCCCCTGGGACGTAAAGGATCTCTTAACTAACTACACATGGAGATCACACGCTGATGTCAAGTTCTGTAACTTGCCTGAGAGGTTTCATGTACACTGTCCTGAAGAGATTTCACTTCCCTTATTGCTACTGTTGGTCAAACCCCTCAAATGTCAGTATGGGAAATATAGGAAGAAAATGCTTTTTCAGGTTTCTGTTAAATGGAGGCCTGAGCAAAATGGATGACCTGAGCCCTAAACATCAGTTTTATTCCTGAAAGACAAGTGAACAAAGGACATCAAATCCCAAATGCTCCCATCCCAGAGGCATTTACAGCCAGAACAGAGTCAGAGCCTAAACTTCAGTATGAAGAACCATCTCTAATGTCTATCAAAGAGGGGAACAGTAAAGCAAAAGAGCTCCTGGTTTCCTTGCAAGTGTTGAAATGAGCCACACAACCAGACACACTGCAGTCCTGTAAAATAAGTACACGTCAGATAGAAAACCCAAGCCCAACCTGAAAGATTAAGGAGAAGACTTGTAAAGTGAAAGTTGGTTTAAACTTTCCATTTAAAAGGGCTTTTGCATAGAAATAACAAGCCACTGAACTGCAACAAGATAAAACGACAATGATCTGTGTGCCCTTCCATCGGCTCTCCATCACAAGTGCCGTGTGAGGACTAAGATACCTCTCCATCACCTGACTTTGACACGCTGCTGCCGGGCATGTGACAATCTCATTTATTCCTGCAGAGAATATACATACAAGGTGATGAAACCTCTGCAGTGGGCTGCTCGCCTCAATTTGAGAAGAAGGTAGAGAAAGATTGATGTGGTCTCTGCCTGGCACTCCTTGCTCCACAAGGCTGTGTATATTCTCACTCGAGATTCACCCTTCAGCTCCAGAAGAAACCAAAAAGTTCCCATTTCAGACAGACAGGACTGCTCAGACAAGCATCAAGCTCCCTTTCTTATTGCTATGTCACGACAGGAGAGAGGCAGGCTTAAGATAAGAAATTTCATCTCCCATCGCTCAATTTGCAGCTCACTTGGTGGGCTGCAGTCTGCCAGCCCCTCCACCAGCCAGCCCTTCAGATTTTATCTCCTACGACTGGAACTTTGGGAGGACATCTCTTATCTTATTGCTGCCTCTCTTTAAAAGGAGTGCTTCAAGTTTCTTGGTAAAAGATTTCTAACACCAGGAAATTAAGTGACTTAGCCAAACAGTGTAGGACTGAGGTAGAGCCAGTCGTTAAACCAAGGCAGCTAAATTGGGGGTGTCTTGCAAGGCAGAATCTTAACAGCATGACACACACAGCCCCTGTTCCCTGGTGAATAATTTTGCTGCAGCTGCAGTAGGGTTTAAACTGCTGTTAGAGTTTGTGTCATGTGCCTTTCTTTTCTGAAATATGTGCAGCTTGACTAATCTCCAAATAATTTATCTTTATGCACATGGCCTTGGTGTGACAACTGCTCCTTCTTTTTTTCATACCCAGTGCTCCTGCAAGACCTTGAAACCATAATGAACAGGGGTCAATAGGGACAGTGACATGCTGCTCCAACAGTGCATTGGGGTGCTGCAAAGGTTTCTGACAGCACTGCATGCAAGCAGGTGACACCCAGCACTTTGAAGGCAAATAGCACCACATACAAATGCAGTCCTTTCAGTGCTTTGCCTTTTCTTCCTTTAATTTAAAAGTGGTTGTTGTGGCAGGGTAGGATGAAGTGAAGAGTGCTTTTAGCTCCCATTTGGTTTCCTTTCAAAACGTTTTATCTTCTTCCTTCCTGCTGCCTCCTTCTCCCCCTCTTGTTTGTGCACCAGAGATGCTCCAGGAGGACGAGGGAGCAGCAGAAGGTTTGCTGAACCTCTCAGGTCAGCCACAGCCTGGTGAAGGTGCAATGAATCGCAGCTCTGTACCAACAAGAGTCACGTCCACAGGCGAGGGCTGGACCTGGGGAAGGTCCTAGAGATGAGACTTTGCTCCTTGAGTTAAAGAACTGACAAAGAGAAGAGCTCAGCTGTGACAGAAGCCAGACCAAGCTGTAGACATGCTGCTTGCTAAGACCTCCTGAGGCTCTAATCAAGGACTGATAGCAAATGAATTGCAGGGTTTCTTCCCATGCTGTGTGCACAGAAGCAACTTTCTGGCCTTGTTCTGGAAGCTAATGTCAAATAACTTGAGCTGCTTCATGCCTGGAAGGAGTCAATGAGCAGAAGGACAAATTCCTCCATGCTTTCTTTGAAAGACACGTGCAAGTCACCTCATAAGACCCAGTGAAGCTTTGCTAATCACACAACTCTAGCCTTTCCTTGTTCTTCTCCTTCTTCCCTGTTTGAGAATACCAACGATTTATTTCAACTGTCTATGGAGAGATCAGCAGTGAGACAAATCTAATTTATAGGAGGACAAGACATCACCACAAAGCCTGAGAGCTTGTGTTTGATGGCATTACTATCACCCAGCATCACTATGATTCATCACTAGGACCCATAGCAATAATTTATACTGATACAAACCAACAGTATTGATGTAGCAAATCATCCAAGTCACTGCTGAGTTATAAATCCCTTTTTCTTTTTCCCTCGCTTTGCCCAGCTGCAGCTACATGATCAAAAAAGGTGAGGAAGAGGTATGGAAAAAATACTTGCTATTCTGTGTTATCTCTTAAAGCTCTAAGACAAGACAATCTTCTCAAAAAATCAAACTGTTTCCCAAGGGGTTCTGTGTAAAGGAAACCCACTGCAATGATACAGTAGGTACAGACACACTGGGACCCGCAGAGACTTGGGGAGTAAGGGACTCTGGTACTGCAGTGCCGGTCACTCTGTCAGGAGCTAGCAGCAGCAGGGTTGAAGAGGTGAGGGCTCAGGCTGCCCCTGTCCATTCTCCATATCCTTTACCTGGTCAACCGTGGTCTCCAAGAGCATGTCCGGCTCGTTAGTCTAAACCCAAGTTGCATGTTAGTTGCTAATGCTCCCCGGCACCACATGTCCTGCACTGACTTTGTACATCATGCTTGTGCATATCTTACGGTAATCACTCTTCTGGTTTTGCAATGACCCACCACAAAGTTTCAGAACTTTGGTGACCCCAAACCCTCCTGACCACCAGCCACATCCGGATGGTCACTGCGATGGTTGTTGAACTGCACAAGAGCTGTCATTTAGAGACATGGGGATCCTTCCCACCCAGGAAGCCCTAGCACTGGGGACTACCAATGTGGGCAGAGGGAGAGCAGAGCAAGCACCCAGCTGTGGCTTTGCAGGATTCTCTCCAAAACCATGGTGAGATCCCATGGTGAGCTCATGTTCCTTGTGATCTCTCAGGTGCAGGGTGAAGCCAAATCATGCCCTGGCAGAGCAGAAAGGGGACACATGCAGGTGGCTTTGACCACAATGTAAGAGTTTGGTCCTCATTAAAATATCAGGCAGAGTTATTATTGCTACGTTCTTTCCTGTGAACGTGCTTAAGACACGCTGTGGGTGATGGGCAAGTCTGTTTTAAAAATGGTCTCATAGTCACATTCATGCTTGACGCAGACTTGTCCCACATAAAAGAGGGTCAATGGGTAGCTCCAGCACTAGACCCCTGATGGCCCATACTGCCATACTTAGTGTGCTCCCTGGCTTTGGTTTGAATCACTCCAACCACTTCAAGACCAATCTGCTCCAGAAGGGGCTGACCCCAAGCCAGGCAGCATCCCTTGGCTTCAGGGCCCAGGATCAGTCTTTTACCCTCTTTTAGGCAGAAATGCAGAGAATCTAAGTGTTTTGTCGCAGATACCTGTCCTTTTCTTTATATAGGGTAAGGTATAAACTACAACTAAGTATACCACAGATAATCTCTGATTTTTTGAACCATGTCTCCACTGCTAAGAGTCAGGAGAGGGATAACATTCATGGACATTTGAACCTCTTCTGCAAACGCTTTCCCGTGAGCACTGTGAAGGCTCACTCCAAGGCTCTCTGCCTTTTGCTGTTCAAAACTCACCTGATGTCTTCAACAGACCCACAAAATATTTTTGAAATAACACGCCTTTGATATGATGTCACTGGTTAAGTTTTGCCTGTTAGCCAGCGGGACCAAGAGGTGGTGCCTCTTTCTTTTCCATCATGCACTGGTGCAAATCTCTATTTTTGTTAGTGGCATCATGGTGAAACACTTAGAAAAATGTGCCTCAGTTCAAAGCGTTTGCTGACTTCTGAGAAAGACAAAGGAGGCTTTGTTATGATTCACGCTCCCAGCTAGGAAAAAATAGTTCACTTTCTATACCTCTATTTCACTACTGATAACAGATAGTTCACGTCGCAAGGCGTGCTTGTAGCCTTCTGCAGAAAATGCAGAAAAGGTCCCTGGCTGGTATTTCCTGCGTTTGCACAGACCTTTAATTTTGCCAGCTCCTCTTCAGATCTTGGCTATACTTCCTACGAGGGTCCAATTTTTAAACAGTTCATGACCATCGCTCTGTGATGGCTATATGTTTAATTGGTTGTCAGAAATTGCTTGTGCTCTGCTGCAAACTCTCAGGTTTCATATGTTTCAATTTTTGTGTCTTGGGGTCATGAGAATGCACAGGAAATATGGCAATTTCTTTTTCTTTAAAGCAGTGAGATTATAAGCTTTGAGCTTGTGGCAAAAAGACAAGTAGCCTGCCCAGGGTGTAATCTAGATGCTCAAAAAGCAGAAAGCAAAAGAGGTTATAAAATTGCATGATTTTTTTTAACCAACCTTGTAATGTTTTTGAGGTCCCCAAATGATTAAAATATGCCATGGAAATGCCACTACAGCACCTGGCTTTGAAGTCATGCCAGGGAAAAGAAGTTGGCAGTCACATGAAGATGCGCTGTAGACCCAAGTTTCTCTGCTCTCCTGCTCTGGGCTGGCACAAGACCATCTCCTGCCCCAAACCAGGGAGGTGCAGACATGCTGCGCTGCGCCCAAGCACAGCCACCCCCTCCAGCAACCCACAGTGCTGCTGCTCCTGGCCTGTTTATAAAATCCTATCATTCACTGAATGCTTTCCATTTTTCTTAGTATCCAAAAAAGCAACTAAACTGATCTCCAGATTTCTTTGCCTTTCATTTCACGAGTTGAATCCTCCACCAGTGTAAGCAGGCATAGCATCGTGGAAGTCAAAAACCATTAAACCAGCACGTCAGACCGCTGTCTTGGCTTTGTGTGAGAGAGGAGGGGGCTATGCTGCAGTGAGGATTTGCTCAGGCAGCTTGGATTGCTTCTGCTGCCCCGGGAAACCTGGCTGGTGTCGCGGAGGGACCATAACGTGTCCTTCCCACGCGTGGCATGGCTGCCACAGTTGCTATGTCCAGCACGTATTTGCAGCTACAGCTCCCCTCACTCCACTTTTCCTGTGCAAGGAGCGAGTTAAGAGCCCCCGTTAACCGTTATCACCCTCCAGGCCCCCAGCCCGTGACTACGCACACCGAGTAAAACAGGTGAGATTTTTCTAAGTGCCTCTGCTGTGCAAGAAACCACAGTATGACTTAAAGCCACCTGAAAGCATCTCTGTGCAACCAGGTAGATGGGAAGAAATGTCCCTCCAGGCTCTGCTGCCTCTGTTCGCTGCCATCTGCGCCCACCCCTGAGCAGTTATGCCAGCTGCCTGGCAGCTGAACACAGTCACAGATCAAAACAGAAACCGAAACGGTGCCTATAGTGTCCAACTGGCCATGGAGAGAGAAATGAGGCAGCTTTACCCCACCCGCCCTGTGCTTGCCTGGGGCCCAAATCCCTCCTCCCTCCAGTGACCCGTAATTTCAGCACTCCCACAGTTTCCATTGGCAAGGTTCTGCCCAGCTTCTAACCAACAGGTCCAGGTAGCCGTGCTGAGCCCTGGCCAGGCTACACGCCCCTCTTACCAGAGCTCTTGCATTAAGCTGCAAGGGAAAAACAGGAAGCAGAGTGAGTTTCCATGAGCTCCAACAGGGAGAGCCAGGGAAAAAATAGTGAAAAAACCCTCCCAGTATAATAAATTTCTTCCTGCCTTCCCCTTTCCCCCCTGCCACCTTCTCCTCTTTTGCCCATCCCTCTTAAATCATTGGTTTGTCTCTTTTGGGAGCACAGAAAAGTCAACAGTCAGGAAACCTTGTGATCTGCAACGATTACACCTTCTGCAAAGACTACACCTCCGCCTCTCTTTTCTCATCTCCCTCTCCCTGTCCCCCCCTTTTAGTCCTGTAACTTACCATGTGGAAGATCCCTAGAGCGACTGTTGCTGTCTTGATGTTGAAGCAGCAACATTTGGGGGGCCTGGTGGTCGTTTGGGCAGTCATTTTCTGCTCCCTGCGCACAGCTATGAGTTAAGGAGGTTGAATTTGCAGCAACCGCTCCACTGAAAAGCGAAGCGAGCAGTGCAGCTCAACTTCCTTCCTGGTCTATAAATGTGTTAAGTCATCTACAAAGTCACATGAGGTCTTTGATTTCTCAATAATAAAGCAAGCAAAATTGTGTTGCTTTTCTAACAGATCTTTAACTGCTTGCACATCCCAGATGGAAATGTAAGCACAAGTGCTGCTTCGGGCAGGTGGTGTCCAGCAAGTGAGATGTACGGGGAGAGGAGGGCTCTGAAGCAGGGTGCAGCTTTGTCCTACAAAAATCATCAGATACAAAAGCAGGGGGCCAAGAATTTCACCTTAAACTTGACCTGCTGTTTTTGCAGTGAGACATCCAAATTCCTTAGTTTGAAGTGTCTCGTTCCTTGCCAGCAAAGTCACCATTCCTTGGAAGTGCTCCTGGGAGCTGATGTTTGAGCAGCCCTGGCCTCTGGGACCAGGAGGGTGGTTGGACTCCAAGGGTCAGGGTTGTTGGCTGAGAGATCTGCAGATTTGCTCTCAGTTCTTGGCACAGCCGATGTGATTTATGTTAGTCAGCTCCTGGAAAAGAAAAGCAACAAAGAGACCTGAGCCTGGTGACTTAGCCACTGTGCAGGATGTCAGACTGTCTACCCCTGCTTGAGCTTACTAAAATGTGCTCTTCGCTATATATTTATTACCATTCTCATAAATCCTTTTTTTTTTTTTTTTTTTCCCCCTCTCTTTTCCCTTTTCCCCACTCTATGGGACAGAAAAGTCATCCTTTAGACCTGTGGAGCAGATTGACCTGAGTTTCTGGCTTCCTGGGAAAGGTCTGGTATGCCACAGCAGGGTGGCAGCTCTCCAGCAGGTAAATGCAGGTAAATGTGATGAGAGTTGGGCACACTCGAACAAGCTCTCAGGGGACTTGCCTGCCAGCCCAAATGTACTCACAGTTTATTTTTTCATGCTTCCAGGAGTGTTCCTGCCCAGCATAGCATCGGGGTCCTACAGTGCTTAGGCAGAGGGCTTTCTTGATTATTCTTATGAAACTAAATGCACAAATTCCACTTCAATGCCAGGAAATTGCCGTTCTGTAGCCCTCCAAATCTGTACAGAGTTCTACACATCCAGCTACGTTATGGGAGGTGTCCTGGAAACTTCAGTTTGGCTGAGTGGATGTTCCCAAATGCCATGGAAGTTCCACAGTGACGTGTTTTTAGAGAAAGTCAGGAGTTTTGGGCAGTGATGATATGAAATATAAGTAGCTGAATGCCCTCGGGGACACAGCAACTCAGACAGGGTCAACTTATATCTTAAATCATATGGTCCATAAAAGATTGGCCATGTCTTTATGCCCAGGGTCCCCCTCCAGAGCCAGGGATCGCTGCAGCACAAAGAATTTTCAGGGCAGGGCAGGGTCAGTGCAGTCGGGTCCCGTTGCATATTCCTATGGTTTTCTTTGGAATCTCACCAAATCTGACAGTTTATTACTTAAATCCCAGGTTTTGAAGTCACATGGCACTCTTTTTTTTTTTCCCTTTAAGGATGCCTCTGTGTTTTTTGGTCTTGCATTTGTGGGAAACTGTTTACAAGAGCCAAGCTCAGCTGAACAGAAGAAGAAAAGGGAAAGGATTCTCTTTTTTTTTGCACTATTTTGTGATTACACTGCATTCTAGCCAATTTCATATCAAGCTGGGGAAGAAGATGGACTCATATTCTTCAAAAACCTGATTACAGCAATACAACTTCTGCCCTGCAGTTGTCAGGAGACTGAGAGCATCCCTGGGGTACCCCTGGGGACCAGCTCTGAGTCAGATCCCACACTGCCATGGGTAACTTGTGCTCTCCACCATCCACTGATTCAAGAGAAATGCTCAAATGCAAAAAAAAAAAAAAAAAAAAAAAAAAAGAAAGAAAAAAGACGGTAGAAGGCTGGGCATCCTGGGAGAGAGTGGAAATTGAGTTGGTTTTAAGTCAGCTCTGAGTTACTCCAGCCTCGAGCTGCATGGTCTGTTTGGTGTGTTTTATTTCAGTCCAAGTCCATGTCTTTAACTCCAAACCTTGCAAACCCAGCTGGGCCCACACTGCTGAGCCCATAGTAATTCATGCTCACCAAGACTAGAGAGATCTGCTTTCCTTCTACATAGCTTTCCATCCAGGGGCCTTAGTGGGCTCCGCAGAGTTGGTCAGGTACCATTATCCCTTTTCTACAGATAGGAAACTGAGAAATGGGAGCAGAAATGCCCCAGTTCCTGGCCACACCGCTGGCCACAAGAGAGCTGGGAAGGTAACTGGTGTCTGTGGATTCACAGGCTGCTCAGTTTACGAGGAGAGACTTCATTACAAGGAAAACATGAAATTTATAGACACTGAAATTACAGCATTGGCAAAAGATGGCATCGCTGTAAGTTATATTTTTGCTATCCACTCAAAACCTGCCTGGCTTCTGAACAGCTCCAGATTTCAAGGATACATTTTTTATGCAGAGTAAATTTGAAGTATGTTTGGTCTCACTCCTCCTCAGTATGAGATTTTACAGATTCTGCCTCTTTTTAGGATGGGAAATAAAGTAACTTCTACAGAGTATAGTTATGGGTCTCCTGTTACAAGAGATCTCCAGCAGCTTCCTGCCTTCGCATGCAAAGGCAAATCCATGGCAGCAGCTGGGAAATGCTCCTTCCAGATTTTTGTCTATTTATAGAGGTAAAGATTTTGTTGTGCATTACCACAGTGCTGAAGTGTTTGGGCCGAAGCCCCCAAAATGTGATCTTCCATTTGTTTTAAAGCCATATCTTTCTATCAGTCTTTCTTTAAGTATAATGGGAAATATTTTCAAAGCTCTTTAACCACTGAGAGGGTTCATCTTCATTTGCTTCAAGTATCATTGCTGTAGGGTTGTGTTTTGGGGTTTTTTTTAAACAAAGCAGAAGAATAGCCACATCTCCTGGAAACATTTTGTGATCTCAGCACTGTTGGTGGGTGTTTATTAACCTTGAGAAACTCAGTGCACCATTGGTCTTGTCTGTTGTTTTAATTTCCGTATTTTTAGGTGAGATTAGGGCTTGTCCAGGGGTCAGGACCTTGCTGTCAAGTCTGAACTGTGCACTGATCTCCCCATTACCTAGGACAGGAGACATTTCTGCCCCTTCCCCCTTACCTGTCCTGGGTTATAAGCAGAGCAGAGCAGGACAGTGCCCTGCCATCTGCCTCTGCCTTGGAGCCCTCACCCTGACCACAGCCTCTGCGATATTCATAGCTCTGCGAAAAGTTTGCCTTCCTGTGGCCACAACTCCAGCTGAATGAGTGCAAATGCCTAATATTAGTCCTCAAGCCTAAAAATTGCCTTCTCCCAAGAGAGGCAGTGCTGTCCCCTGTGTGTCTCCACAGTGACAGCCTGCACTGAGCACAGCACCAGATGGCCACCGACCCTCCAGGGCTCCAGAGATGCTCAATGCTGAGGCAGCAGGCACCTACAGAACCATTAATTTAAGTCTAGTCTATGAGGATACAGCAAGAAAGCCCCCTTACTAGAGATGCAGTTTTTACTGGCAAAGTGAGCTCTTTAGACAACACAGTTTCTACCTCCCTAATGCACATGATCTGGAAGAGCAAATCACCTCTTGTGGGGTAGAAACTGCAACTCTGGAGATGGGGAGAGGAGGTTTGCTTGAATATTATCTCTGACTAGAGTGTTTATTTTTTTTTCCTCCTCCAGACACAGAGCAATGTTACGAATACACACTTACAGGCAGGGTTAGGTTTTTTTTATTCCAAACAATATTATGAATATAGACATTACTTCAATGTTTCAGAGCTCCTGCTTCCTAGCCTCCATGAAACCATCAGGTGGAGAGAGGAAGGCATGGGAAATAAATGATAAACAGTTGCTATAAGTTTTAACGGACCTCAGACTAGGTTTAGACTAAATTCTACCACTTTGGACTCACTTTTGAACCAAATCAGGTCACTTTTGAACCAAATCGCTTGTGACTAATAACTGGTAAAATTCTGACATCACTGTTGGTTGTCACCATTATTGGTGTGTGCTTTCCAGGCTAAAAATGAGGGGTTTTAGCACATTTTTCAGCATAGCCTCTAACTACTATTAAAAACCATAATCCAGTTGCAAAGATTCACTGGTATAACGTGAAATTGAAATCTCTTCACCTGCAGGGAAAGCACAAAGCCATAGACGAGGACTGAAGGCAGCACAAACATCAAGCCCTGCATTTATCAGCACCCTGGGGCAGCTAGAGCTACGCCAAACCACAATAATGTCTGGAGAATCTTTGGGGAAATAGGGTTAAAAATAATATTTGGGTTTAAAAATTGATCTGTTCAAGCATCTTTCATTTACAAATCAGTTGCAAATACAGGCTTTGCTTTCCCTTCTCCACATGAAACATATTTTCTTTGGGGCTTGCCTCCCCTCAAAGCCATTTTGTGGGCCTGGCCGAAGGAAGGTGCAGGAGGATCAAGTATTTCCTGCTAATATGAAAAGCTGATTCATAATTTGAACCTGACTTTGCTTGAAAAGCATACTTTCCCTTTGCAATCCCCCCTCTCCTTTTAGAGGCAGACAGAGGCTTGCTTGTATGTTTGAGCATACCATACCCAAACTTAGCTCACAACGTGTAAAAACAAATAGAAAGTGTGGCCCCGGCTGGGCCATTGGCTTCAAATAGTCCTGAATGCCACTGCATATTTGGCTTACAGCATTATCCTGAGTGGCCCCTTTCAGTGGTCTGCAATACCAGCCTCTTCAGACACCCAAAACGTTGCTGAAAAATCAGCGTTGTAGGAAGTCAGTCTGCTCTAAGGAACACAGCCTTGTGTTTTTCATGGAGATATGGACATATATTTCATATGCTTTGCAGAGCCTTGCCCCTGACTCCTTCCTGGAAGCAATCCCAGGTGGGACCTCTTGTTTGAGGGGTCTTCGTCCTTTGGCTCGATTGACAACCCGCTGACGTCAGAAAGCATCTCCCATCAAGACATATCCTTCAGAGAGAGCATGAGGAGAGGCCGATACGAGCCACGTGCTGCTGTCCTTTGCACCCG